CCCTTTCTTGGTCAGGGGACTCTGTAGAAATGCACATATATTAAAGTAGGATATATTAGATTGATTTGCATGACAGTCTGGGTAAGTGACATGGCTGTTTTCACACTGGAGAAGGTGAGAATGGGGAGCTGCTCAGAAAGGAGGCTGGAGACTCAGGCACCCCCACCCTGTCTGGCACAGGAGGCAGTATACTTCAGCTTCCCTGTCTGGTACAGATGACAGCCCAAAGGATTCCTGGAGAGCTGTTGGACTTCAGTCCACACTGGATGACCAAAGAAGTTGAGGTATGATGTCAGTGAAGGCTGGCATCAATAGTGTCAGCAGCAGCAACAGAGCAGAACTCTTGACAAGGGTAGATGAACCTGTCAGTAAGATGCTAAGATAAGCAAGAAAAACAAGCAAAAACTTTTCCTTTGTACTTTCTTCTTTCTAGGTGCAACCAGAAGGTGCTGCCCACATTCCCAGTGAGTTTTCCTCCTCCAGCTAACCTAATTAAGAAAATCCCCGATAGTTGGGCCAAGAGACTACACTCTTAGTTGATTCTAAATTTCGACAAATTGACAACTAAGATTAATCAGGATAGCTCCTCAAGAATTATTTCCAAACTGAAAACACTTCCCTCTGCACAAGAAAGTCTGGTACCCTTGATGTTGAGGCAGGAGGATTGCAAATTGGAGACTATAGGCTACATAGACACAGGCTCACAAAAGGAACTCCCTCCAGATCAGGATTCTTCACTCTTTTACCTTCTTTAAACACACACACACACACACACACACACACACACACACACACACACACACACCAGACATAGCGTGGGGAGGGGATTCACAACTTGTGAAAACACTGTAGGATACCGAGGAAGGAAAGGAGCTAAAATTTGAAAGACAATGTGGTAGGCAGCCTGTAGGAGTGGTGGAGCAGATGGCATTTCCTTTCCTACCTTTCCAGACATGTGTTGGGTGTGAAGTCAAACCAGCCTCTACCAGGATGTGCTGAACACACCCTGTGATCTCCTTCTCACCAGGCTGCAGCCTCTTCTGTACTTCTGTGTCCTTGACTCCCAGTGAGCCCTTGGCATAGAAGAGCCATCTGTAACACCAGTTCTTTGGGTGTTCACAGCACAGGAGCAAGTTCCTAGGAATAATAAGTCTCCTCCTGGATGACAGCAGGCATCCCAGAAGCCCATGCTGTGGTCTGCTCTCATGTGGGCTTCATACTGACTAAGGCTTTTCTTCCTCCTGATCTTATTCCATCACAGAGTTCATGGCTGGATAAGGTACAGATGCCTCTCTGCTTGACAGACATGAAAACACAGTTTACCTAGATTGTATTCGACATCGTGACAAGAGAAGAACTATATCTAGGAACTGGGACCTCCATGCTCTAAAGGCCCAGTCTATTCTCTGTCAGGATTACTGAGTAAACATGGAGATGCCACAGGGAACCACCTTCTTCTGCCAGGTGGAAAATTTTGTTTTTATCATTGTTTTGAAACAGGAGAGCTTAGGTTCAGATGAGTTCTTTAGAACCTACTCTTTAAGTTTACCAGGTCTGTGAGGACAAGACACTTCAGATTCTCCCCTGGGCATGTCCCTTGGCTGAGGTCATTGTTCACGGATTTGCTGATGCCCAACTTGGAAACATTGTCCTCAGAAAGGTCAGAGGTGGGAATAGGCAGTAGGGAACATGGCTTTTATTGCTGTGAGGGCAATGGGTTCTTGAAGTTCAGGTCCTCCTAAAGCTGTTGTCAGAGGAGCACAGAGAACTGGAATGTGAACATGCTCTAAGCTTTCCCTGCAGAACATCTGTTTATACGCTTATATTTGTGAATGGTCTGTGAGCAACCTGCGGTGTATGGCTCTGTTTTGCTCAGATTTATCCCCAGTGCCCATGTGAGGACAGGAACAAATAGAACCTTAAAATACATGTGATGCCTTAAATTTAAATAATTAAGTCACAGTTATGCTTCCATGCTGTATGCATTTTAACAATTTACATGTGTATTCCAGGGCTACAAAAGGAGAACAATTAAGCACCAAGGCTGTTTTCTAAGTGATGTGGGATTCAGATTTTTTTTAAAAAAATATAATCAGTTCTATTAGAATACAAAATACAAATTTGTGGAAAAATGAAAGGGTCATTGTACTATAAAACTTGATAAGAAAAGCTTAGGAGATGACCAGAGCCAGGAGCACAGTGCTTATAAAGGTTATCCATGACACATAGAAAAGTTATCAGATTCTAATAAGGGTAATTGCACTGTGTGAGCTTGCCTCTGTGTGTGTGTGTGTGTGTGTGTGTGTGTGTGTGTGTGTGTGTGTGTGTGTGTGTTCTATTGCACAGGTGCACATGTGTGTGGGTACATATGCATTTTGGTACATGTCTGTGTTTCTGTGGAAGCCAGAGATCAATCTAGTATCATTCCTCACAATACTGTCCACCTTGTCTTTGTAGACTGTGTCTCTCAATGGGCTGGAGCTCACAAAATAGGTTATTCTAGCTGGTAAGCAATCCTCAAAGATTCACTTGTCTCTTCCTCCCTAGTGCTGGTATTTAAGAGGATTTTTATCTGGGTGATTGAACTCAGGTCCTTAAGGTTGCATAACAAACACTTCCCAAATTGAGCTTTTCCTCCAGCTGGATCTGATGTTCTGATCTCTCTTGATGACAAAAGGGTCATAAGCAAATGCAATTTCAGCCTTGTATTTGAGAGAGAGAGAGAGAGAGAGAGAGAGAGAGAGAGAGAGACAGAGACAGAGACAGAGACAGAGACAGAGACAGAGAGAGACAGACAGAGAGAGAGAGAGAGAGAGAGAGAGAGAGAGAGAGA